CTTGCGCGTCGCCTTCGGTACTATTTTTTTTTGATCTAGTGATTTTCCACGTCAGATAGGTTGGGTCCTAGAGAATTCCCAAGTCTGGCCGGAACTTTATCCCAACACTGTTTCAGATTCCCAGTCTCCATGAATACGTAGTGATATATATCGTAAGTGTTTGACGTACTCTTTCATGCTAATTAAATCAACATGAATACACGTGTACAATATTACTCTTATGTGTATGCAAGCAATTTTTAATATATTTATCATCATAACAATTGGTACATGTACGTGGATGGAAGTATCGGATAGGTACTTTCAACCAAGCACCCCGAGCTTATTTTTGTCCTTCTCAACAACAAGCACTTTTGAGTTTTAAGTGATAATATAATGACCTTTTTTTTAAGGAATAAGCAAGAATGAGAAAACTATTGTTCCTAGGTGCGAATCAAACACACAACTTTCTGTTTACTATACGGCTGCTCTACCTTTAGGCTATTTGGGGGCCTTGCACGCACTCACAACGTAGGTTCAGATGAACTTTATTCTTTCTCACCCAAAGCTGAACTTTTATTTGGTACAACAGAAAATGATTGTAATTTTTTCCAATAATTAGGATATTTAATATAACTCTGATGCAACTAACTGTATGCAAGAAATTTTGATATGATCATCATCATATCAATAGACAAATATAAATGGATCTAACTTACTTACGAGCATTTAAGTCATATACCTATTAAAATCGTACTTGAGGTGAAAAAACAATTTCGGATTAGATATGGCAACTTATCCAAGCCTACAGTGCGAATGAATGAACGGCTGCACGGTAGCTCAAGTGATACAGCAACGGTCTAGTGAACAGGAGATTGTGTATTCGATTCGTACCCGGGGATGATAGTTTCTCATTCCTATGTATTTCTTCGTATAATTTTTTGAAATAAAAAATACGTAAATTTTGACTATGAATTTTTTAGTATAGTTGAATGAGCTGAAATCATATCGATATCCCAAAAATTCTGACGAGCTTGAAAAGAAAAGGAGTAGTTTGAATAAATAGTAACAGATTGACACAAAAGTTAATAAGTAGAAATATGTTACGTACGATAGCATATAGCTATGCGTGCGTGCACCCCCTTTGGCCTGGGCCTAAAAGTTAGAGGAATAGAGAGGAAAAGTGATGGAAAAGGAAGAGCGAAGCAAGTGAATAAGGGAAGATAAGCTAGAGATGCAAGAGCGAAAGGACCAGGCCTGCAAGACTGGAAGACAAGCGCAGCGTCCCTCGAAAACAAGTAATGCTAATATAGTATAAGTTAACGACAAGTCACGCTTTTATTTATTCCTGCACCGTGAAGCCTACGTAACAGCTGGTGTCAGAAGTGGGATGGAGACAAAATTTTGTTTACGGTCTGTCTTGGGCGCAGGAATCACTTTGTCTTGCGAAACAAAAAAAATTTTTTTCGTATTAATTAACGTAATGAAAAAAAAAAAAAAAAAAAAAAAAAGAATATATCGCTGATCGCAAAGTAGAAAAAAGTGTTAAAAGTGCCAGACGCCAAATTCAAGTGTCCGACCGTCACAACAGTAGGAATCTGGAGAAAGTGTTGGAAAAAAGGATAAATAATCTGAAAAAAAATCTTCAACACTTCGAGGAGACGAGACAAAGAATAATTACATATCAAGCCAGTGGACCAATTTATCAGAATACTAGAGACAACTACTTATCACTGAACTCAGGGAAATATGGACAAAAAGCAAACACGGTACGACGAGCTCGGACAGTAGCCACAGACGGGGATGCATCACTCAAAAGAAGAAAATAATAGGAAAAAGCGAAGGCAGGTCAACTCACACAAGGATCAAAGGCCAACTTATGAATATACAGAGGATCATCATTATACTAACCATTGTGACAGGAATCTGGTAAGTAAAGTTTCATTTTTTTATATACTATACTCATAACCCCGAGGTAAATACTCATAACCCAGAGAGATAATTTCTATACATCGATATTATTACTAAATCAAAAAATTAAAGGGCTTTGGTTGTTACAGATGATTGCATGCACAAACATATGCCTGACATACAAGCAACAAACACCCTATACAAAAATATTTTTTTAAATTGATTATTGAATAAAAGGAGTAGTTAACCGGAAGTAAAAACAGGAAAAAGGCTATTGACTAACGCTAATTGAGAATGCGTATATCTATCAAGCGATCTCAAAATACACAACAACAAAATCGTCTTACGATTAAACAAAAAAAATATACGAACAAGACTAACTGTATACAAAAAAAAAACACAGAGGCGAACATGATGAGCATAGCAGAAGTGAACGATATATCAGAGGGAGGAGAACAAGAAGACGATAAGCACACAGACATACACGAAATAAGACAGGATGATATAGACGACAACGTGATACAAATTAACCTAGAACATATCCAGAATCATGGACAGAGCGGCAAAAAGGCAGTAAAAACGACGCTGTTCATGATAAATATAATGAAAAAATTCACACCGAACATAGTAAGACAGAAAACGAATCTGGTAAGTCAGGGAGTCGTTGCACACACCGTTCAACGGAAAATTCCTCCTATGACGGAACATCGAGCAATCCCCAAAAAAAAGTATACACTAGCCTTATTTACCCGAAATAACAGAAGTAGTGCTATAAACGACTTGATAGTGGTTGCAGCCCAGAAAAGGACACGGGCTAAGTTGAATACTTCGTAACAACTCCCGTTCTCTTAAAACAATAGCGCAACAAATAGGAGTAACAATTTAATTGTAAACCATAACGCACATTATAGAATAGATGCACGCGAATTTATAGACATACAATATTCACACACAGCGGGTGGTAGGTATGAACGCACGCAAAATTACGTCCTAGAACTACCAGAGCACGCCATTCAGCAAACTCACACACATTGGGATTACAAAGCTCCCTCGCTACATTGAGCCATCTCGCTAAAAACATACTAATATTCGATGGTGATCCAGTAAGATTTTCATAGTTTGAACAAATGACCAGAATAGTAGCTTTCACGGAAGGACCACTGAACGAAAAACTTCTAATTGGAACGATTGCAAACTGGTTATGAAACCGGGTGGACGAGTTTGTTACCCGATTAGCAAAATTTTCGTCAATAGATGAATTTTTCTCAAAGCTAAAAAGTAGGTATGCTTGCACCGGCAATTTCACCACCTTATTGGCAAAACTAAGAATCATTTTGCAACAAAGAAATGAGCCAGTGGAATCATCCTCTAACCGAATCAAAACAATACGCAGCCGAATAATAACTTTATATGACACTTACCCAATTTATTCTTCAACACAAAAAATGTCGATAAAAAAAGACGCCGAAGAAGAGTTATTAACGCAATTCTGCGATAGGCTACCAGCCCCACACAACTACCAAGTAACTTATTTCAACTCACAAACATTAGGCGAAGCAATAGTGATTGCACTGAAAATTGACAGCAAAATAGACCTACGCTGGGATTTATTAACGTGACGGAATGCGCACATACGGTTGACACAAGTAGGGATGGAAGAAATGAAGAAAAGCGCGTTCATGTACGATCAGGCGAAAATAAAAAATTAGCCAAAATGGTACCCAAGCGAGACCAACTATGATCCCTGCTCATTCTGCAACGGGCACGACCATGCGACAGAACAGTGCAAAATATTATAACTTAATGTAAATGCCAGAAAGACAAAAAATTTAGATAAACGGAAACATGATACGGCAGCAAGCAACGATACTCAAAAAAATTTGACCACAACAAATAGTCACGGGAATTTGACCCTGAGTTGCGCGTACTGTAGATGAAAGGGACACGGCACGAGCGAGTGCCGCACGTTGGTGAGTGAGGGCGGTGTGCATCCTACACTTAATATTCGTATTTCTACTTTGCGAAGGGATTCTTCCTTATATTACTTTTAGAACTTTGTTCCAGTAATATGTGCTTGAGGCAGTTATTATAAGTGTGTATGTCCGTAGTATAACTGTCTGGATTGCGTTGCACTCTTTTTGTGTTATGTATATGCACTTCAACGCTTGCTTTTACACCGTTGGTAAAGCATGGCTCAGAATGCCTTTTCTCTGGCGACTCCTGCCTATTACCTGCTGTCTCTACCCTTTTCTTAGGCATACTTATGTCTCCCTTCTTTACTGCTGCGTTTTGCTCGGCGTTTAGGGAGCACTGCGAGCGTCTTGTGAGTTTAAACTCTCTGTAAGCGGGTTTCCAGTTTTGTTCACGGGCTGATTAGTTATCACGTATGGAGATCCTCTGTCTTGATAATTACTATTATTATTATTTTTTTTGAATCTATCATTGCCCCCGTTTTAGCCCTGGTGGTTTGGTTATTATTATCGTAGCGGTTATTATAATTATTTCTACCAAATCTGTCATCACTCCCATTGTAACCATGGCTGTTCTGATTATCCCCACGGAAGTTTTGCTTGTTGTAAAAACTCTTTTCTCTTTTATGATTATTATATCAGTCCCGAAGATTGCTCCAAATTAATTTCCCTGTACATCACAACGATTCCCTTATACAGTACAACAGCCGAGTTGAACACATAACTTTTTCTTAACATGGACGGACGAAAGAAAGAGGCTTGACTAGCAAGGCTTTAATATTTGAGAGCTATAGAAATTTTCTTTAGGAAGACTTACCTTCATCTTATAAAGATATTCAAAAACAAAAAATGCCAACAAACAAGAAGTGAGAACCTTGCTAGGTAGCATAACTGGGACTAAAGATTTAGATTTTATTATAAAAACGTGTGTTAAAAAGTTAGGATGATGATGCTAGGGCTAGAGTGATTATAAGGTGGGGATGAAAAATTTAATTCCTTAGATTGTATCTATTATAAATATTATCTATAATGAAGGATACACAATAAAAAAATTCACAAAATTTTCAAAATGTTGTAAGAAAAGGACTTTCATGTAACATCTTTCTGCTAAGTGTTATTATGACGGAAAAGAATACATACCGTTCGTTTCAATGTTTTGAAAGTAACGTTGTCCTTTTTGTTGAGCTTCATACCAAACTTTGGTCACTTGTGTACTCGTTTTGACCACACTTTCAATTTTTTTTTCTTTTTTTTTATCATTTTTTGGCCTCGTAACTTCTTTTTCTTTTCGGGCTTTGTAAGCAGCTAATTTATGTAGAGCAAAGGGATCTAGAGGATCAATATCAGCTGAGTCGTACTGAAAATTAATAAAACGCTAGAAATTCGTTTTACTTACAGCTTGTCACATTATTATTGTTTCAATATTCTTATTTAAAATACGTTACAATGTCAAAAAAATATCAAAAGAATCTTATACTTATAAAATATCTTTAAAAAAAAAAAAAAATTCTAATCAAAATACGTATTAAGCATATTGTACATTGTATCATACATATACACAGCATAGATCATATCATGAACAGATGTGACTTATTGGTATTTCAAAGAATTTTTAAATTTTTTTTAGACTTTTTTAGTATATGTTTTTTGGCAGTAGTCGTAAAATATTAAAGCACCTTATATCATTGGCGTAATCCAGTGAGCAGCTATATCAAACATCCATCTTTTATAATCCTACTCAAAATACTTTCAATGCACAAGCTTTGTTAAAGTTTATATAATATTTATAGCATGGGGACTAAAATAATTACGTTATAGTTATCTGACTACTTATTTGAACTCGCAAGATCGATGTCACTTTATCGACCTAATACTACACATACAACTGTTTGTTTTTAAATTAATCATCACCCTTCATAGAAGTTATGATAAGTTAAAAAAGTATAGTTGTGGTATAATGAATACAATAAAGAAGTTAAAGTTTTTACGAAAGTTTTTTTATGTGAAATCCTGCAATGAAATACAAAACTTGACACTTTTAAATTGATTCAACAGCTTTACAAGTCAGAAGTTATAATATCAAAAAGTTTCATGTTTTTCATCAAGTAATAGTCACAGTTAATACGAAAGCTGTTGTAGAAAAATGAAAAAAAAGACATTGCTTTTTTTTATTTTATACATCTAAACGATCTACAATTAATTTAATGATGTATTCTATACTCATGTTTTAACAATTAATAATATTTAAGTATGGTTTGAACTCATATTAAAAGACGGAATGAGTGCAGAAGGGAAAAATGCACAATTGAATCAATAAACATTATTAAATTTTTTTTTTAACTTGAACTATAAAATCACAACAAATTGATAATTAATGCACATTACATAAAATATACGCGCTTATCTCGTGCTTTACTCACCTATTAAATATACAAAGTGTCGACTGAAAGCCTGAAATTCTCGTATACTTCCAGGTTTTCCCACATGAAGATTAGCAAAATTCCAGTATACTTGGGCGTCATTAAGGAAATTAATTTTAAGTTTTCTGGGATTCATTTATACATAGTATACAATACATGCACACCATAAATGTGTGTATACTCAGTGCGTTTGTGCTCGGTTGAAATTTTTGTTTAGGTTAAAAAGGTTACCTACGTGGAACTTAGTGTTAAAAAATTTTTGTTTGAAGGTTATATACAATATCGAAAGAAAATCTAGACTGAAGAATTAACTTTAACGTGTCCCTTATGTCTTAACAAAACTAGATCTGTGACCAAGATAAGACGATGACTATAACTGAAAAAAATCAGCTGTTTTGTCAGTTGATAAATCAGCTGATTTCTGATGCCAAATCGTCAGCTGATTTTTTGACTGTGCGAAAAATACAAATCCCAAAGAAAAAATTTTCTTTGCCATTATCAAAACTATGTATTCTGGGACTTTAACAGTAGAATGTAGGAGGGAAAAATTAAGAGAATCAAAAAATTTTTATTAACAAAAATTACAAGCTCTTTGTGCTGAAAAATGTTAAAGTTCCATCAGTGCTAAGAAATACAAGTCCCAAGGGAAAAAAAAATACATTTACGATCGTCAAAAATATGTGTTTTGAGACAATTACAGTACAATAATACAGGTGAAAATTAAGCGATTAAGAAATTTTTGACAGCACAAGTTACAAGTTCCGCGCGCTGAAACAGTCCAGTTAGTGCGAAAAAATACAAGTGCAGATGAAAATTTTTTTTCTTGACATCATCAAAACTATATGTTCTGGGACATTTACATTTAAATGAGAGAGGTAAAAATTAAGACGTTTGGAAATATTTTGATGGAAAAACTTACAAGTTCCATAATCTAGAAAAAGTTGAAGTCCCATCAGTGCCAAAAAATACAAGTCTCGAAAAAAAAAATTACATTTACGATAGTCAAAAATATGTGTTCTGGGACATTTACAGTAGAATGAGACAGGTAAAAATAGAGAGGTTTGGAAAATTTTTGATCAAAAAATATGCATGTAAGCTGCTTGAAAAATAAAGGAGAAATCCAGACGATGCAAAAAAATATAAGTCACAAGCGAATCAGGACGAGTATCGACTACCAAAAATGTAATTTTCATTGTAAAACGTATGTGTTTCAGGAAATTTGAAAATAATTTAAAAGGTGCTGAAATATATTTTTCCGCCCTCGGGTGGTTTTGGGAGGCTGGTACTTCCTTGGGCGAAAAAGCAGTTCTCCGGAACTCGTTCGAAAAGTCTCCTTTACGAACCTCGTTACGTCCCTCGCCTTCGGCTCGGGCCGCAAACCTCTCGGTTCGCAAACAGAGACTTTTCAAACTCGTAGGAAAACTACTATTATTACATTCCTCCATCGAAAGTACGACTTTTTCCATTATTTTCAGAGGAGAAAAGGCAACATTCCCTCATTGTGAAAAATTACATTTACTGCCCACAAAAAAGCCTTTTACCGTCCTCCGCATGATTGGCACCCCAGCGTTCCACTCTGGGGGCAATTTCCACGTGAATGACGTTAAAATACTTTCCTGAATAGCAGTAAATGCGAAATTGTAAAAGTAAGGTCAATAATAAAATAGTAAGCCATACTTTCTTCACTAGTGGCAAAATATACTATTTTTTTCGAACTTTGAAAAATACGAAATCCGTTGGAGCAAAGAACGCATGTTCTGACTACAAAAAATATTAGTTCTTATTGTGACATTTTTTGCGGCTTAAAAAATTGTATATTAACTGAAATGGTTTAATAATTAATGCTTTCTTACATTTAATAATTACCAGTATCGTTGGTGCGGAAAAAAACAACAGTTCTAACAGCGCGAAAAAATGTCGAGTTCCGACATCCAGAAAAAATAAGTTTCGACCGCGAAAGATAAGTAAGTAATTTTTTTTTCCACTATGCAAATTGCAAGTTTAGTTACAGCAAAAAAAAAAATAATTTAGTAAGCTTTGAGTTATCAATTAAAATGTAACATATGAAGTTAAGCTATCTATTGAAAAAAAATCAGCAGATTTGTCAGCTGATAAATTAGCTGATTTGTGATGTCACATTATTAGCAAATTTTTTGTGCACTAAATTTTTTTTTTTCTAACTTTTCTTCACAAACAATCATTATTAATTTTTATCAAATAATTTAAGCAAATCAGTGAGTCGATAACAATACTATAAAATCAATAATTGAAAAAAAATCTTAGTATCTCAATACGAAAAAAACATAAGTCCCAATTGAAAAAATCAACTTTTGTATTATAAAGACATTTTGTTTTGAGCCATTTTGAGTTACTTACAAATACTTGAAAAGTGTAATTTTATTAAGGTTAAGTTAATGAAAATTAAAAGTTCTGTGATTGTGAAAAAATACAAGCCGTGATGAAAAGGTACAAACTTCTAGGAAACACAGTATGTGTTTTTAGGCATTCAATGTATACTAAAAATATTCAAAATTATAATTTTTTTCGGTTTTATTTCTGAGAAATTTACAAGTTCCTGGATCACAAAAAAAAAGAAAATCTACAAGTGCATAAAACTACAAGTCTTAGAAAGGGAAAAAATTTGTAGGCACAAAAAAAAAATTAAAATTTTAACAAAACACACGGTGCGTTTTCAGTATTTAGAGCAGAGTACAAATATTAAAAAATAAGATTGTTTTTGTTTTAATTCTGAAAAATGAATTAGTTTCGTGATCACGTTAAATACAAGTTCCACGAGTTTAAACAATTAATAGTATCACAGGCGCCAAGAGTTCCAAGTTTCGATAAAAAGGTCAGAATTTTCATAACACAAATTGTGTTTTTTTAGACATTGTAAGACGATTATGAATTCTAAAGCGGGTATTTGTTGGGTATTTAATTATAAAAAATAAATAATTTTTACCACCTCGAAAAAATACAAATCCCACGAGTGCAGTCCTAATAAAGAAATTATGATTTTAATGTTATACAGAATATATGTGTTAAAGCATTTGAAATCTTCTATAAAAACTATAAAAGGTTATTTTTTTTGGATTTTGGTAGAAAAAGTTGCCAAGTTTCGGAATCAAATAAAAAGGACATATCCCACAAGTGCAAGAAATCACAAGTCCTAAAAAAAAATTAAAATTTTAATCATACACATTTTGCGTATTAAGGAGGTTTGAGAGAAAAGTTAAAAATGGAGATATGTGCCAAAAAAAAGTGTTATATTTTAGCATATTAGGAGTGCACATAAATTTTTTCAGATTTTTCACCAGGGGAAATTTTCGAGAAAAAAATTATAAAATGTTGACAGATTAACACGGTCTCTTATGAGAGAGCAAGATTGTCTTTTATTTGAAATTAAGGTATATTCTAAATAAGTTGGAATAAAAAAAAACGTTTTCATAGATAACTTGGTACAAAAGGAAGGTGCTCAACAAAAAAAATCAAGCCTTGCCAGGCGATTTTCAAAAATATAAGCAGTTACAGTCGTACAGTTTTAAGTTTGTAGAGTACAAAAGGAGGTGCGCGGTAAAGGGGGCCTAGATGTGCGGGCAGGAGGGACTCCCCGTTCCTCGCCTCTCTGAATGATACTCCCAAACCTCCTTAACGGAAGTTGTAATTTTGTAAGTATAAAAAAAATTACTCTTCTCAACTTTTTTAATTAACTTAAAACTCCCCAGAACGCACACTTTTTATAATAAAAATTTTGATGTTTTGTAGTAGGTACTTGTATTATTCCGCTCAAACAAAACTAGTCTATTTTAAAGTGTGAAAAAAATTAGTGTTTTGGACTGTTTTAATAAGCTTTAAGTTACCGGAAATGCACCCGTTTCATCACATTTTTAAACATTTGTAAAAATGAAATTTTTGAACATTTGTAACATACACTAAA